AATCCCTAACCAAGCGTTGCAAACTCATCCAGTAACCCACATGCGTATCCTTCTAGGCCTGATCAATTGCTTGCTCTGTCACGCGACTGACATGCGCAATGTGTGGTCGTTGGCCCAGACCCTGCATGCTGCTGCCATCGGTGTGTCGCAAATATCGCTCTGCTTGTGTGCACCATTGCATGTACCCGTCATTTAAAGTTGGAGTGGCTTCGTTATGGCACATGAAAGAACCCCAATCTGGTCGAGGCCCCGCATGCAACTGAAGGGAGACTTGCGTTAGGGTAGGAATTTTCCTCACCAAAGCTTCTCGTTCAAGGTGCCCTATAATACCATAGTGCGGCTTCCAAGGCACTTCATGACAAACCTCCAGACTCAGTATGCCTTCCAAATCTTTGGAGACAATTGCGTAATCAAGGACACTGCCAGTGCTAATAGTAGCTTCCCGGGTACATACGACCTGTCCACACAAGAACCTTGGCCACCCTAATTGAATCAGACCCTCAGGTGAACAATTGAAGTCGGCAAACATGATCCACGGGCAGCAAAGCGCCCGCACGTAGGCCGCAAGTTCAAGTTGGACATGTTTGTACTCAGGAGAGTTAGGACCTTTCCACCGGGAGGTAAGCTGCCATAAGAGCCAGAGTGAAATGTTTAAAACGTATCATTTTGGCAGCCCATCTCTCTCCGCCGAGTGGCTGCGATGTGCTTCCTAAGTATGATTTGGTGGCTATGGCGACGCCGCTGGACGGGCCTACTTCCTTGATTGTCGCCGGATGAGCTAAAACATGGTAGCCTGCAGCCTGAAAGTGACGTTCAAATTCCCCCAGCGTGGTTTGCTTATGTTCAACCAGAAGCACCGCGTGTTGGGATGGCGCTTGGAAAAATTCCTGAGTGGCTGGGGACCAAGAAGTAACGTTGGCAAAGAAGATTTTAAAAGGGCCCCGGACAGCCTCCTCGCAAGTGTCGTTGTCCCCAGCCGCCTCTTGTGCAAGTTCCTGGATTGCACTGTCCATCTGTTCAGAGGGACTGAGGGCTCTAAGCGCTCCTGTCTGGGTGGGTAACCTGGAAAAATGTCACCATCTGCAGATGCGTCGGTTGTTTCAAACACGGTGCTAAACCCCTGGTATTGGTTGTGCCGGGCGCTCGGAAAGTTCTGCATCTGTGTCTGCTTGGTCGTCGCTGTGCATAGCAGCATCTTCCCAGTCTCGTGCGGCTCGGTCATGACTGCGATTTTGTCTCCTACGCTTAGCAAACAAGTTGGCGAATTCTGCGTCCTGGAGGAACTCTTGAAACCGGTTGCGCTGTCCTTCAGACAGTGTGGAGCCAACTTCCCTAAGAAGGGTTTGCAGCCGTGGGATGTCTCCAAGGAGCTCGAGGTCATTAGCTGACAATTCTTGGAGTTTTGGGACATCTGGATCAAGTAGCTTGGAACGTAGAACGTAGGTGCTATAAGCTGTTGTGGCCTGCTGCTGAATTTTGACAGCTGCCTCAAGTTCGTCATCCATGTCCTGGATCTTGCGCTGCAATTCTTCCTGCCTTGCTTGAAGTTTGTCCAACTGTTGCTGTAATAGGTGACGCCTATTGCCCAATTGCCTGACAGTTGATTGTGCCTCTCGCAGGTTCTTCTGTGCAAGCGCGGCCTGATCCACCCGTGGCTTGAACTTCTGCATGAGCGCTGCTGTTTCCTCTTGTAGACTTCCCTCTGGTGCGTATTGTGTGAGAATATGGTTGCAAAGGTTGTGCCACACTTCCCAGACTTGCGGTGGGAGTTCCACCGTATCAGGAGATGGTCGTTCACCCATGTGGTAGGGTTCACGTGGCTGCCTTTGTTCATCATGCAGTCCGGCTGTTCGAGGTACCGGTTGTAGGTAGGGTTGCCCATCATGTGTGCCTTTGCCTCCCGCATTTCGAGTCGGTGCTCCTTTCCCGGCCCTTCCTGTTCGTTCCTGGAGGTAGGGCAGCTGGCTTTGGCCAGATGATGGTGGGAAAGTGCCATAGGTAGCATAAAACTTGTCGAGAATTTCGGGTGTCCAACTTGCTCCGCGCGGGCATCTGGCCATGCTGTGCAAGCGGTTGATCCACTTCCAATCTCCGCAGGTTTGACACATAACATACATGTTGTGGCCGGCGTAGTCAACCTTGCTACCCTTGTTTCCTTTCCCGCGTGAACTGTTCCTCCAAATTGGCGGTCTATAATGTGATGGCCGGTATTCTTTGCGCCAAGGTGGTCTCTGACCCCACCGTTGCTCAGCAAGAAAAGCATGATGATCATACCCCAAATCATAGTGTTCCAAATCATCCCAATGTTGGTACGGCGTGGCATGTGTTAACTATCTCAACTTCAAGCTTGATCCGATATCTCTTAGAGCTTGGGCAGTCTTGGAAAGCCAAGGCTAGATGGCTCCTTCTTGGACATCGTGACCCGGATGCTCAAGAGCTTGAGAGGTATGCTCCTACTCCGGCGACTCCCACTGTGTATCTTGCCTTCCAGATCCTCAGCAGCATGCGTTATGAGCTGATCATCATGGACGTCAGCAGTGCCTTTGGACAGTCAGACCAGCTCGAGCGTGAGAAGCTCGGGCGAGTGCCTGGGAGATCCAAGTTTCCATGGAAAGGTACATCATCGAGAAGCTCCGCCCAGTGGTGTTGCCCCGCGACAAGGTCAAGGACGAGGACAGGAACCTTGACGAGCACGAGACCGCAGTCCTTTGAGGGGCAAGGAGGGGCCGAAGGTCAAACACTTCAAAGCCTGTAACAAGGCGATCCAGGAACTCAAGAACACAAGTTCTGTGCGGCTGAGAGTGCTCCCCATCCCGCTTGAGGAAGGCATATGGATGGTCTTCACGGACGCCTCTGTCGGCAACCTTGAGGGAGACAAAAGCCAAGGTGGCTTCTTGCTTGCTTTCGCCGACAAGGTCATCATGAATGGTGGCGTCGGGCGGCTTAGAATCAACAGCTGGAAGAGTCACCGACTTCGACGTGCTGTGAAGTCTTCATTGGGATCGGAAGCGCTGGCCATGGATGATGACCTTGCCGAGCTGGAGTGGACGAAGGCCCTTTTCTGCGAAGTTGCAGTCCCAAACACTTGTGTCAACGACGGCAGCCGCTACGGTGATGACGAGACCATCGCTGTTGTTCGAGTTCGTGATGAAGACAGTGGAGCAGCGGTGACTGATGCACGTGCCTTGTATGATTTGTTTCATAGAAGGTCGGGAGCTGCAGGTCTTTGTCGTAGGGCTCAGTTAGATGTTGCTGTGATGTCGAAGAGCGCAGAGCTCTTAAAGACAAGCGTGCGCTGGCTTCCTGGGCAGTCTGTTTACTGTTTATGATTGCCGATTGCCTGACCAAGAGGCTGGGCAACAGTAGTCTTCTCCGAGCTGTGATGGCTGTAGCCAAGTACACAGCAGGCTAGCGTTGCCTGTGCGCATGCGAAGCTAACTACAGAAAAGCGAGCGGAAGGGCTCAGTCTTTTTCTCGAGCTCAAGGCGCCCTCGGTGTGCGCAGTCAGAAGCTGCCTGAACAGGTGCACCACTCCAAGATGGATAGCTATACTGGGCCCTTTGGGGGAACACTCTGGGGATAATGCTGCTCCGTTCCGCATCCATAAAGGGGGGTCACCCAGAATGTATGCAGAGCCTCCTTGGTCAAGCCACTCAGCCCTCGCTTGGACCTCAGTGCTCTGCACTGCTGGAGCTTACAGAGCCTGACCACTATTAGGTCAGCCCCAGCCCGCTGAGCTGGGTTCTGTCAGCCTTCTCACCAAGTCCAAAACTCAGTTTGGCCCAGAAGCCTTTTTCTGGTTTCAAGTCTTACACGTTTCACCAGGGGGCGAACGGATTGGACAGACAAGCTTGAAGCCTTCCTGCCTCCAAGCCCTATGTGAGCTACACTCGGAGCAACCCAAGAAAAAGAGACTGCTACTTTTGTGCTTGTTGTGGTAGGTCTTGGTCAGGAGCAGTGCAGCCACGCAGAACGTGAAAGAAGCGAGAGCCCAGCAACTTGATTGCCTTGATGGTCTCCGCGTGCCGGAGGTCACCTTTGGCCTCCACGATGACCCTGGCAACTGCGAATGCCTCAGCAGTACCTAAGCTCGGATCTCTTCCAAGGTGACACCTCGCGTCAACAGTTCCTCGAAGTCGTAGTCGTGTCTAGCCAGGTACGAGTCATTGCTTTCATCCGCTTTTTGTCCGACTTGATAGATAGCCTGCTCAAAGAAATGATATCGCTCTTCGACCTTTGTCTTGCCCCAAGTTCCCCCAAGGGATTCGACCAGGATCTGAACACGATTCTCCGAGAAAGGCTTTCCCCGGTCCAGGCGAGCAATTTTTTGGAAGGCCGCTCCTTCCACATCCAGCGCCGCCATTGGTGCCAGCAAATGCAGATGTTCTGAAGGCCACCGCTCCTTCAAGAGGCGCAGCTTCTGACTGTACTCGTCCAGGTTGGTAACTCGAGCTTGGAAATTCGGTATCTGTTGCCACGGCAGGTGTCCAAAGTTGCAAGTGCCCTGACTTTCTGCGGCCGTTTCTTCCGCAGCAGTTTCCGACATGATTCAGGTCAGGTTTCCTACCAGGATCCTCCCCTGTTTTCAATATCTAACACCCTTAGATAGCGACAGGCCGGGTTCCGCTACCAATGAGACACCCCTAGGCGCGACCTGTCCTTAACAGCCCCAAAGGAATACCGAAGAGGACCCTGCCCCTTAGACTATGACACCCTGTGTCCCTAAAGTAGCCGTAGGCCCCGCCCACCCTGAGAAGCCCAGTATTCCTTTCCGCTCAAGCAAACCCACTTCCCTCCCACTTTGAAGCTGGGATATCGCAATGAAACAGGACTGACGTGTTGCTTCAAGTGAATCCTGGCATGCTGATTAACAATCACCATCAGCATCACCATCATCATCATCGCCACAATTTCTGCACGTTCAGCACCACCTACCTGCGGGTTCGGGTTATCGCTGTTTGTTTGGCTCAGCATCTTTTGATCGTGCTCATTGTCCTAAGGCACCACCAGCAGTGCGACTGTGCTGGACGAGGAAGGCGGGCTACACCCGCAGGATGGAGAGGACGCCGCGGTGGAAGTGCAGGGTTCTGGCTGTGCTTTCGAGTTGGGGTTGGCCAAAGACGCTGGTGCAGCGAATGCAGAGTAGAGTTTGAGACATGCCGCTTGCATGCTGGGGCCCCACCCGTCGAAGGTTGATACTGCTGAAGGGCAACGGAAAACTTGCGAAAAGCAGGGATGTGCCTTTGAGTATTACTAAGATTCAGTACATTACAAAGCAAAATGGGATCTAGGCACTCAGACCCTGGTCTTGCAATTGTTTTGACCTTACCACTTGCGTATACTTAGGTCCGGAGTTTGACAGCATGCCATCGTAGAGGCCGACAGATGCCAAAACCTGGCTGTTTTCACTCTTCACAATGATCCATGGTTTTTTGATCTTTTGGTCCTTTGCTGACAGTTGCAGTACGCGCGCTGCCTGGTGTGACATTGTTCCGCTGCCGAAGAGCTTGTCGAAAAATTGGCGCAGACAGCTTTTTTGCTGGACTCTTCTAGGGTTTCGCGTTAAGGGGGCCTCCATGTCGGATTCTTTTCGAAGGGTTCACATCTTTTGCGCGCTTCTGGCGGCAAGCCACCCAACTACATCACAGACATGCCTTTTCCTGACTAACATGTTTTGCAGCGCATGTCCAGAGCTTTGTATGTACATGGACGTTGATTTGAGTGATGGTTGCTAGCCGTTCCTGTGACTGCTTATGCTGAGCCTGTCTTTGGATCAAGACCTTCCGACCATGGTTGTTTGATAATCCCACTGGTCGCAGCATGTGCCTCTTAGTGCCTTTGACCCTGGCCTTTCTGGCCACCCTCAGCCCAGTAGGTGCCGTCCGTCCGACACAGCTGGAGGAGACTCAAAGGCCGTTTGAGTACACCCCGGCTATCGTTTGGGAGCGGCTGTCACGCGTCACTCCGGTCCTTTGCCGTAAGCAAGTGGAAGGGCTCTTCGAAGAGCTCCTTGAGCTTTGGGACAAATCCATCACGCTCCCCTTGCACGACTGGAAAAACAGCATTGCTGATTTCATGGGGAGAAAGGTACTCCTCAACGGAATCAACGGAGCAGCCATGCTGAAGACACTTGCAACTGCTGCGCGCATGAAACTGAAGGTTTTAGCAAAGGCGCAGGAAAACTCCATGCTATGGGCCGGCTTCTGGGAAGGACCTGGGGCAGTGCCCAATCGTACTACCAAGAAAGCATTGATGGACTTTGCCGACTTGATGGGGATGCAGACAGTCCACCCAGGCACTGCTCTGGGCCGTCTTGTGCAGAATCACGGCGATTTGAGTGAATGCGGCGGGCCCAGCTTCAAGGATCCGGGAGAGATCATCGCAAACTTCTGGACAAAGGTTAGCCGTTTGTTCATCGACGGCATCTGGAGACGGAAGCAGATGCTCATCCCGGTCCTGGTCAACAAGGACTTGCACCCTGAGGCGGAGCGCAGCCTCCAAAAGTCAGTGCTTTGGCGCTACGAGCTGCCTATGTTGAAGAGTTTTTTGGGAGCCAGCTTGCATATTGAAAGGGTGGGAGACAGATGGTGGCATCCCAAAATAGTTTTTGTGGACATGCGTGGGACTTGCAACTATCTCATGGAGAAGGTTGAGGATCGCCTGCGTCTTGGAGAGCAACTCTCGTTGTATGCAGCGTGCTTGCCCTGCACCTACCCCTGCAAGTTGGACAATCAACTGAAGGCGGCTGTGTTACAGATGGAACCCGCAGAAGAAAAACGCATGCCAAAAATCTCGCATGGTCGCCCAAAGTTCAAGTACGGGACTAAGAGAAAGAAGAGCAGGAGTGGCAAGCGATAAGCAGGAGCTGGCCAAGCCTTTGGAGGCATCTCTTCGTGGCCGTTCTGTCTATCCTTGTTTCATTCGTTTCACCCGGAACTAGAAATTGAACAGCTCTCCGGCACCTGTGTGTCCCAAACCATGCGACCGCTTCTCTTGTTGTGTCTTATGTGAATAGATTCAGATCCCTAACTCCAGCAATCCTGATCTCCGTCCAGATACTTTGAGATTCCAAACTTGTTCGATGACTGGGGCCTGGGCAGCCAGTAAACTGGCAGTTTCGTTTCCGATGCAGCTGCATCTCAAGTTCACGGAGCATGCTTCCACCAATAAGATCTGTATCCTGAAGCAAGTCTTGAACTAATTTGGTACAAGCATTCAGCTAAGGCCTGTGCTTCCCTTGTAATAATTTTTCAATTTAGGGCGCCCAAACATTGCTGGACAGGAAAGGCTTGACATTCCCAAAACCTATACATGTCCGAAGACTTATTCTGGCTCGGCAGGAGCTTCTCGATGTTCGTTTCGATGATGGCGAGGAGTTCCTGGTGCGCTACAGCCTCTGGGCCTTGCACAGTTCCGGATATTTGCGAGAATACCTCTGCCTTCCTACCCTCAGGTGGCTGAGCAGTATATGAACATCAATCTTTCACTTGTTCTTGCAGAGTCATTGGAGACAGTGAGTGTAAAGATCAAGACAGCGCTGCACAGAGTCGCCGCCGCAAGAGTCCAAAACAACATCGACCACAACTGCCAGGATTGCCATCATGCGCGGCAGTCTATTGCGTATGAAGCTGCAGTCTGAAACATAATGATGGGCATGCACTTCGAGTCTCGTGCGAGCTAGTCAGCCCCTGGCTTACAAGGCTCCATCATCACAAAGCTTGCTGTGGATGCCACTACTGGTGAAGAGCGCTCTGCAGATGATGGCAGCGGCGATGCTGCAAGCACCTCAGGGACATGTGGCTGGCAAAAATGGAATTCATTTGTGCATGCTCGTGCACGTCGCACAATGAATCTTTCAGCATTGTCGAGGCTTGTAGCTTCTTGACGTAGCAATGAAAAATTGCAATGAAGGCCTATGTGTTTGCCGTCTGGTATATTTCATCTCGAGATTTGGCGTGGTAGACCCATGTCAACATTTTTCATACAGCAAAGAGAGTAACATGATGCCGCAAAAAGGGACCTTGAAACAGATAACCCCAAGCCTGAACTCCGAACTGCTACTGGCAGCTTCAACCACCTGGAGCCTCTTCATGCTGAGGCCAACCTGCTTAGCCGAGCCCCTCGGCCGACCTTTCACCTGCTGCGGCTGGAGGCGCGCTGAGAGCTGCCTCTGAGCCAGTGAGACACAGGCTGGTTCAACCCTGAATTTGCGAGAATGGCGTTGTTGACATGAAGGCCCACCGTTTATCTTTCAATTGAGGGAACAGTGACAACAATAGGAATGGTGAAACACCCGGCAGTAAGAGCCTCACTGTTAAGTTGTTCCGAAATCACGAGATGCTTTCCGATAAGTGTCACAGGATCTGGATGCAGCAGGCGATGCTGCCTCAAACTCAGCTCTTTTATAGTTGTGGGGATTGCATTTGATGATTTTGCTATTGACCATTGTGGCTGCTGTTGTTGCTCGGAACCTCGGGAGAGTCTATCTCTGGGGGCCTGTTGATTCTAGAGTCTTCCGAAGCCCTAGACGCAAGTTGCAAATCTCATCATTTCGGCTTTGGTCCAGTCAGGATAGATGGAAGGATGACAGTGGCTTAGAAGGTCCAGAAGTGTGGTTCAAAACAAAAGTTTCAGAAGTGATTTGTCGAGTAGAACTCAGTTCTGCGGTCATTTCCCTGCCGCCCCGAGACCGTTCAATGTTTTCTTGCCCAGGCTCAGGCAGGATCTGGCCCCAACATCAAGGAGCGGCCTTCTAGACTTCAGTGTTTCGGGCGCCTTCAGCTTTTGGAGTGTCTTCTTATACTCTTGCTGAGGGTGCTTTGTTGGGCCTAGGTAAGCTCATTGTCTTGGGGGTGCAGACGCAGAAGTGCTGTCTCATAAAGACGTTGCTTTGCAGAAGCAAACGACTGCAGGTACATGCTCGAAGCTGGATCATGACTCATGTATTTTCACAGTGCCTTGAGAGGAGAAGCGTTGCAAGAGTGCAATTCAGGGCTTCCCAGCTGTACTTGTGTAGGCGCGCGAACTTAGAACTGATCCAAAATCGACATGTGTCAGCGAGCCAGTGAACATTGCCAGATACCAGAATACCTGGGACTCCTGACAGAGAGCTTTGATAGTTCGAAAGCCTGGAGCCAATAAAATCAACACCAACCTGGGCTCACGTCCCTCAGTCCTGCGGCAAGAGCAGCCCCATGATGGCTACTGTCCTGTAGAATGCTTTGAACACTTGTAACCAGAGGATTCTTTGCAACTTGCGATTATTTGAATTCTGAAGGTATCTCTAAGGATCCAATTAACTTGGCCTCGCACGAGTCTCAAAGAGGCCGTGCTCGCCGAGAACGCGCGGCGGGCTGCTGACCTTGGCCTGGACGGTACCTTTGTTTTGACCATCTCTGGGGCTCCGGTTCAGAGAGCTGTGGTTCTGAACGTCGTTTTTATCATTGTTGCACGTGGAATAGAAGACCAATAGCGTGGTACTTACCTGACATTAACTACTTTGTTATTGTTCGTTCCAAGACATGCAGTGGCGGATGTGGCGGTAACCTTGGACCCAGAAGAAGCAGCGACCCGAAGCTTAGGCATGGACGAGCTCCTGAAGCAGTGTGGCTGAAGATGAGAAAAGCTGCTCCAAATCTTTGTTGTTGATACAAGCGCGTGCGCATTTGTTGGCACGGTTATCAAGAGTCTGTCACTGTTCATGCGCCGCTAGCTTTGACCACCTCTTGAACTAATGATTCCTCAGTGACGTTGAGTTCATCCCAGTCACGAAGCACGCAACAATTCAATGAGGGCAGCGATCTTTCGCTTTTTGGCAGCCATGTAACAGTCTCGCGCCGCATCTGCTGTACGCTTATGAACGCCGTCGGTGGTGAATGTGTTGTGTTTCAGCGTCAGCTTGGCCATGCAGAGTCGCCTTTCTAAACCCACCTCTGCAGGACATTGTTAGTCTTGATATTTGAGCCTCATGTCCACACTATCACAATGTGGCCCCGCCCTGCACAGGGAGGGCACGCATGTACCCACTTCAAGATTCGGCTCATGAATCCCAAATGAAAGATGCACCCTGCCAGGCGTACCTCGGCTTGTTAGCTGGACAGAGCACGAAACAGCTGAGTCTCTGAGGGGCTCGCGGGAAATCATGTGCCTAACCATTGGACTAATCAAAATGGAAAGGTATTAGGACAATTTCATGTTGTTGTGTACGCGAGTGTGTGCGCCAGTTTCTCGTTAAGCAGATTCTGTCCGGCATGAGTTCGTGCCGTGGCAACTGGGGTTTCTGACACGACTAGTCTTGCTTGGCACCTTGCCGACTCATCAATAGCAGGACATGGGTTCTTCTCTTGTAGGCTATCGCAGTTTGTGACCCTGGCTGGGTCCGACCTCCAACCAATTTGTTTGAGATTCGCCTTTGAATATCTTCTCGCAGATCCCGGAATCTGACAGCGAGATGTACAGCAATTCGGACACGCCGTCAAGTCTCTCACTTGCTGGGCAATAAGGCATCATGTTGGACGCTCCCGGTGTAATCGCGGAATTCCTCTCAGAACGCCTCTTTCGCCTCGTTATTTCTGAGCTTCATGTTAAGAACTGCCGGCTTGTGCTTAAAATAGCCTCTACAAACCTCTAAGCAGACGCTTAAACACGTCTCTGTAGAGAAGCTAACGGGGGCGTTCACCAGGGGTCGAGAACATGACTTGGAGAACATGACTTGACCACATAATCTTGCGAAGAAGTACGGGAGCTCGGGCCCTGAGTTGCGCTTGTCCTAAGCCTATGCGTAGTCATAGCACAACACAATCCTGCACATGTACAGAACGGATTCTAAGGCAGTGCGGAGTGTCTGTCCCAAGATCAGTGCTTTGGAGCCTGCGGCTTGCAATGCATCAACAGAATGCAGTGCTGCTGTAGCACTTTTGGAAGATGATATGACACAGCCTTTTCGGGACAAACAGCTTATGAGCCACTTAGCCACATTATGCCTGAGCCCAGGCTCAGATTGCCTGTGAAGAATCCAAGAGTGTTGCTGGGACCAACCACAAGGAAGGCGGCTGCAGTCTACAGCCTAAACAGAAGTTGTTTGTGCAGAAGCGCGTGATCCTGCGATTGGTAGTAGTATCGCTTGTCGAAATGAATCTCAAGCTTGCTGTGCTCAGCGGTTCTGACAGACTTTTGGGCTGGTTGCGTAGACTTAGGACTTAGGCGAACGGGCAGCCAGTCAGACTGCAATTCTAGCTGTTCTTTTGCGTCTGGCACACCACTAACTGCTGGCCACCTTGCTTGTCCTTTGCTTGACCTAGGTCCGCCCCTGCCCTCGGTCAAACCACATACAGAGGGGCGGATCGGTTGGAGGCTTCCTCGCAAGAACCAGAACTGCACAAGAAAAAGTCCATTGAAGAAGCCATTGCTGCTCAAGATTGTGCAGCAAGCAGTGTTTGGATGGCTGCTCAGTGGGTTCGGTTCAGGATGAAGAAGTAGAACAGCTGAGGCTGTGCGTGCATGCTAGAATTTGTCGGACAGACATGCTGGGGTAAGGAATTGTGTCTGTTTGTAACGAGCGAGGAGGCCACCAGCGTTTCAGCACAGAAGCCCTTCCTAGCACTGGTGATAGAGAACCCCTTCGCCTTAAGAACCGGATGCCTGGCTTTGTGCTGACAAGGGCGGATCTGTTTACAAGTGCCCTGAACCGGGAGCTGCTACATGAGAACTTGGGCTTGGCAAAGACAGGACCGTGACATGCGAAAGTGATCGATGACAGTTGTAAATACACGCAGTTTAG